CTCGAGTTGGAAAGTGGCTTTATGTGCGTCCCAGGCAGGGTGCGGGGGGAACGGACTCCTTCATGTCTGCAGAGAGGCTGGAACGCGGCGCGTGGACCCCGTCCCAAATGTTTGCAGGCAGCGGGGCGCGAGCAGGGCGGCAGGTCTCCTCCATGGTCGCGGCCAGGTAAGGAGCTGGTCTCAGACAGCTCACACCGTATAAACAGTGTCTTCTCTCCGTGCCACTGGGATGGCCACGGGGAGTTTCTTGGCTCCCAGTGCAGGTCCCCGGGCTTCACACCCCCCACACCATCGAAAGCTTTGCTTTGCCCTATAACAAGGGGGCTGTCTCTTACTCCCTGAGCTTTATTTCTGAAAACCAAACCACCCCCCTCTTTTATTGTGGAGCTTGGCCTGGAGCACGCAGAGCTGCGGGCTGAGTCTGGCCCCAGCTGAGCCCCGGGGATGCACTGGGCTGGGATGAGACTGTGGGACGTCGGGCAGCATCGCTGTTCTGGTGCAAACCTCTGATTTAGGAGCGTCGGAGGTGGGGGGGTCGGTGTCTGCCGTCGGTTTTGGAGCAGGCGGGAGAGGTGCTGGTGGCTCCTCCTGAGCCAGAAGCTCCTGGCATGCCTGGAGGCTGCTGATACTCTCTGCTTTTCCTTCCCTTTGGTTTGTTTTTTAATCTGAAGTTCCGCTTTAAGGGGTCGCATGGAGTTTATCGATGCCCGAAAGCAGCTCATGGGGGAGGTCGGGCAGCGGTGCTGGGGCTGCCCTCATACCCTGTGGTGGGTGGCAGCGGGGATGCTCCAGCTCTGCTCTCCAGAGCTCCCATGGGCACAGCTGCTGCTTTTCTTACCACCACTTCCCTTTCCCAGACCTCGAAGGGACACACAGGCGCCTTTCTCGGGCCAAAATTTGCTGCTCTTCATGGCAATGGCCATGCTTTTGCTCTTCTGCATGCCAAGACCTTGGGGATGGCATCGACCGCGGCTGGGCTGGCTGCTGGGGACGCGGGTCCAGCAGTGGTAACGCTGGGCTGTGCTGGGAAACTCTTTCCAGGAAGGAGATTTTGCTCCAGAGAAATATTTCATCCAATAATACAGAATTTAAGATGGAGCTGGGGGCTTTTCTGTGCCCCTGCAGCATCCCTCAGCCCTGGGGTCCTGCACTCCCAAACATCACCCCAGGGTGAATTTTCAGGCAGCCCTGTGCATGCTGAGCCTGGCCAAGACTCGCTCTGTCCGGGGAAACCCTCCTGTATCTGATGAATGACACTTTCTGGTTCTTTTCCTGTTATTTTTTATTCCAGGGGGTTTTATTTCTCTGTTGCTGATCTTCCCCCCGAGCTTGGTGCATCCCCTCCATGTTTATTGTGAATGAGCTGTTGCTTCCCACAGTTTCTTCCCCATCATTTTGGTGAGGATTTCAGAGCTGCTGCTCTCCGTCGGGCAGCGATAACGGGCTGAAAAGGCGGCGATTTGGAGCAGGTGGCGTGGGGCTGCTGTGCCCTGTTTCCCAGTGGGTGAGAGTACATGAAACTGGAAGGTTCCAGCTGAAAAGAAGTTTCTTTATGTGCCATGCGAGTGAAGGGCGGGTTTCTTGCTGCGGGATGGTGTGGATAAAACTTTTGTGTGGGCTCACGAATCCGAACGAAGGCGTTCAGTAGCAGGCTTGGGGGTCTGCACTCCCCGAGGAGCTCCTGGGTCTTGGAGCCCGGTTTGCTGCCGTGGCTGGGGCACCGTACCGGGCTTGGAGGATTTGCTGCCTTTGCCGGGTGGTTTGGAACAAACCACCTCCCTGGCCACGGCTGCAGTGCAGAAAGCTTTGAGGGAGGGGTTGTCCCCATTGCTCTGGGTGTGCTCAGCCTCCCATGTGCAGGGCTTGGAGCTGGGTTTTTCGGGACATCCCAAATAAAGGGCGATCCTGACCGAGAGCACCAGGCAGGGAGGACCTTCACCGGGATGGTGCTGAGCCCCAACACAGCCCCGGAGCTGCATGAAGGACTCTACCATCAAAGAGGTGCCAAGATGAGCCTCGTGAAGGAGCCATGGGGGTGGCAGGGGCTGCAGGCGTAGAGCCAGAGCGGCGCTGCCAGGCTGGGGCCAGCCTTTGCTTTCTGCTGCGGTCGGGTGAAATTGCGGCCAGAGCCCTGGCACTGCTCCAGCCCAGAGTAACTGGGACTGGGGTCCGGCCGTAGCTTCGCTCCTCTCTCAAATGTGCTCCCTGCCGTTTGTTGCAGGTGATGGGAGGGGGACAAATCCGTGGGAGCAGGGATGCTCTGGGTGCCTGGCCAAGCTGGGATGCGCTCGGGTCAGGGTGGTGCCGAGGACGCCCGTCTGTGCCGTGCCACAGCGCTTTCTACGTCTGCCAGCACCGACAGCACCTCTGTCCCCTGGAGCCCCCATCCCCTGTTGCCTCCCTCATCCAGAGCTGCCCACGTTCCCCAAAATTGCCGGTTGCGAAGCTTTCCTTATTTGCCGTGGTGTGGTAAAGCTGTTGTGGGAAGGATTGAGCTGAGTTCCCTTCAATTCAGACTTTCTGCTGGCTAAAAACTTGCTTTTTTTAATTAAAAAAAAAAAAAAAGGAATCTGGGAGTGTAAAACTCTGAGGGCTGCCCCCAAGGATCATGGCGTCTCCATCTCCGCAGCATTCAGCTGCCGGTGCCAAAGGCTGGTTTCTCTCGCTGTGCCGGACCGTGAGCATCCCGGTATTTTGCCCGTAGGAGAGGAGAGTGTTCCCATGGGCAGAACCGGTGTCTTTCCGGCAGCCCCGGCTGGCCCATCCCCACCATCGTGCTGCCGTGTAGCTGGTTTCCATGCTTGTACTGGTGAGCTGGAGGCAGCATCCCAGTGTCTGCGTGGCTGCGGCGAGACAGTGTCCCTGCAGAAGATGTGGGGGTTCACTTCGCTTTCACGGCTCCTCTACGGAGGAGGAGGAGGGCTGGGAGATGACGGAGCACAGCTGCTCTGGGGCAACTCGAAGGCTGTGGGATGCAGGAGGGAGAGCGCGGGGTGCATGGGCAGCTCTTCTTCAGGGCAGGGAGGATCTGCTGGTGTTTGCTGTGGTTGGGTTTCTGTAGCTGGAGGGTGGTTGGGGAGCGATGCCGGGGGGGTTTGGAGTCTGCAGATGGGTGCAAAAAGCCAAGGAGCATCTCGGAAAGGAGTCACGGTAGCTGTGCCGTGGCTGCGGAGAGCAGTGCAGCAGAGGAAGCCCTGGGATGGATGGGGACATTCCCAGTCCCTCTGGAGCCGCCTTCTGCCGGGGCTGGTTTTGTTCTGCGGGATACCAGGTTGGGAGAAGGGATTTGTTGATACAAAGTGGCCCCTTCGCACCCAACATCCATCCCGTTCAGCAGCAGCCAGGTGGGAGCAGGGGGCCCCACGGAAGAAATCACTGTTGGTCCCCTGGAGTCTATAGGCATCGGAGCCCATCAGGCTCAGCCGTGCTGGGCGCTGGGTCAGGGAGGCTGGAGGCTCCAGTGAGTGCACAGGGGCTGGTCTGAATGCTGCTGCCAGTGCCACGGACACCAGTGGGGGTCAAGTCAGCTCCAAATTCCCTGTAAATAAGTGAAAGAAAGGTGTAATTTGGGGGAAGCACAT